TTTGAAAATGTGACTCTGAAACGCCTCCATTTAATAAACTGATTTTGAGCAGGCTCCATTTACAGTAGTGAGAACTTAATTCTCAAATGACGCATAAATGAGTGTTTCTTTCCTCTTGCGCAAAATATGAAGAAAAAATTGGGTGATATGTGAGAATATAATAACGACCCTCAGTTCGCATTGCATGCCAGGATGGTAGCATCCTTAGCCATTGTGCCTCCTGCACACCAGGACGACCCCATGGACATTCTTTCGAATGCATTGCCTGAAAACCTCCTACGGCTCCCTCGATTGGTTCGAGGATGGTTGCCTATGTACGGCATATTATCAAATATGCCACAATTACGAAAAGATTTGATTCCCTATTTGTATCATGTTGTATTAAATTCTAATAGGTATTTCTTCGTATACCGGACGTGGTAATGATAGGCGTCAGCCCTTATGGAATGCCCACCAAAGAACTTTTATTAAGAGCAGCTGTACCGTGGCCTGATCCGCAGGATATTATAGCTTTACGTTACGCGTAACTTTATAATAGAATATAAACTGCGATTCAGAGCACCGCTAAGCTTTAGAGCAGTGGTGCCGAACTGGTATTGCTCTAAGGGCGATTTTGAAAATCCCGACACACGACGTGACGACGCACATTTAGATTTACGTACGTTTTTGTATGTGACAAGGTCCATGAGCTTGAAAATGTCGTCGCTTTTATAATTTCTAATTTAGCTTCTGCTTTTTAATATATCAATGGGTTTCTATCAACAGAGTTGTATGTGAAATATCGTTATCGATAAATTGATTTTTGACAAAAATAAAGAAATTTCCATGCAAATCATGTTGTCAAAACGCCTTTCGAATTCCGATTTTCTGATTATAAACCTGCAGCGCTTCAGACCAATCAAGCAGGGGGGGGGGGTAAAAACGTGGCCCCCCCCCCCCCCAACATTCAATTGATGGAACGCCATTATTTACCTTATTTGTACATTGATGGCACATGTAGGCACACTTTGATTTTTCGTTTGCACATTTCTCTGAAAAAAGATATTGGAAAAACAAATTTGAAGAGCCAACTTCACGATTTTAGCCCCCCCCCCCCCATTAAATTGATTGAATGCTATATACTTCATTCGTTTGCAATTTGTTTGCACATGTAGGCACACGTCGATTTTTTGTTTGCGCATTTCCCTAACAAAAAGATTTTGAAAAAATAAAAATTGGGCGGCTATCTTTACGATTTTAGCCTTAAAATAATGGAGCGCTATATATTTCATTCGTTTTCACTTCGTTTGCCTATGTAAGCACAAGTTTTTCCTTTGCACTTTTTACTAAAAAAATTAATTTCAGAGGGCCCAATTCATTGTTTTAGGCCCTAACCTTAAAACAGAACTTTATTTATATTTTTTCGATTTCACCTCCCTAAAAAAGAAATTAAGAAAATAAATGGGAGAGGGTACATTTATCTATTTTTATCGAACATGAATTTGCACTGATGATTTTAGTTTATCTATTTCGGAAACGGGGTGTTTTGATTTCCAATAGTAGAAGAACGCTTGTAGAAAGGCGTGCAGTGTACATGTACCTACAGGGGTCGTGTAATTAACAGCTTTAGGGGAGGGGCTACATGGTGTCGGCGACATCTGGACGCCATCTCCGAGCATGGTGTGCTAACCTGGAAATTTTTCAGTTTTTTCCTATTGTTTTCAAATAAGTGTCGTCGAAAAAATTTGTAAACGCAAACAACTCCTGCGTGGCGGAATTTGGTTTTTTCCCTAGGAATGAAATTAACCACGTACCTTTTGCAAGGCGTGCGTCTTCGAAGAGTAGTCGACTTCGAGCGCCCAAAAGGTATCTTCCGCTGCGAATTTTGTGATGCGGTTTAAAGTTTATTAAAGTTCGAATCGCTGTCTCTCTTTCTCGTGCCGCCAATATAAGCCCGAGCTATGTGAAGTGCCCCAAAAATTGAGTACTATTTTGTGAAAGGTTTTTAGCGAAATCTACGGGTGAATGGGACGTCGGAGCGGGTACCGACAAATTTTAAAAAACCAAATTCCTATCTTTTTTAGCGCATTTTCCGTCTCTCGCTCCGTTTGCACTTTGCACCACTACTGGTGCTTCAGTTTAAGCTTTTTCTTATACGGTGTAGCACAGCCTCGAGACCAGAATGGCAAAAGATTTTTTTGGATTAGTCACTTCCTTCCCGAGTTCTTACTGATTCTGACTGGGAAAAAATTTCGTCGGTCGCGAGTGACCACGTCTATACTAATTAATAATTATTCTGCTCTTCTCCGCTAAACCACTTAACCTCAACATTTGCTGCGAAAGACGCCATAACTAACAAAGATGAATAATACGACCAGTGTTATCCGATGAACATTGATGCCTACTATAATTATTGCTTTAAATGCTTTGTGGACGTTAATCCTCGTACTAGGGAGTGCAATACCGGGATCGCGGGATCCCGAAATACCGGGATCCCGCAGCATTTTTGCGGGATTAGTCCCGTACATAAATGAAGCGGAATCCCGCGGGATTTGCGAGACTGAGCAATTTGTCGACCAAGGGGACGACTCTATTTACTTTGTTAATGAAACGCATAACGGAGAAGATATTTTTAAAATAATTGTTAAACTTTTTTGGTTAAAAATATACTATGATTTTTGAGGCACTTTAGAAGTTTACTTTTTGTGCTTTACAGGTGAGGTTTTTTTAACTTAGACTGAAGGTACTTTTTTGTTGAATATTGTGATAATTACCGATTTACTTTAATACAGAAGTTAACCGCACAAAATGGCTTATTTGCCAATTTATTTAAAATTTTGCGGGATCCCGCAAATACCTTGATCCCGCGGGATTAACATCTAACGATCCCGCAAATACCGGGAGTTGCTGAGGGATTGCATTCCCTACCTCGTACATTAAAGATGCCATCCGATTTTTAAATAATTTTTTTATTTTATCGAACAGGAATCAGTGCTGATACAAGCATTTTAATTTTCATAGACCTTGCATATATACATGCTCTTTAAAACAAAGATCAAACCCAAATAATATACACAATCTGTGATTATACAGGGTGTATAATTGGAATATTTTCTCCCCTAAGTATTTTACAGAAAAGTTACATATAAATAATTTTTGTGTATATTGTAAAATTCTACGTCTATTCATGTACCCAATTTTTTGTTATGGGAGATCGGAGAAATTAAGGAAATTATAAATTAGCATTTTAGTAGAAATCACTCGTGCCGTGAAATTATTGAAACAAATATTAGATTTTTAGGCAAATCCTAAATTCTAATTCATTTATTTTTTCCAGTTTCCCGAAATGAAAAATAATAAATGAGGACATGGGCAGACCCAGAATTTGTCAAGCTACAGGAAACATATTTACAACTTTGCTCTAAATTCATTAGGGGAAAAATATTTCAGTATAAACAAATTGTAAAACGTTTCTACACCCTGTAATAGCAATATAGCCAATACTGCAATTGGCATCGTAAACTAACCACATAATTAGGTGAAAATTAAATATTTTGGTTTTATTTTGAGGCTCTTACGAGGGCTCTTATTCAATTTCTGATAGGTACGTATTATATGCAAATGAAATGTTTTTCGCCGTTTCTGAAAACTTTTTCAAAATTCGGCTACTGAGCTACTGTTGAAAATGATACCTCGATACCTCATTTTTAATTTTTAGGAAAAATGGTTCGAAATCAACTTTGTGACTTAATTAGATATCGGGGATTATGATAATCTTTTTGTGCCAGATATCTAAAATATGCAAAATAATGCGTTAAAATGTTGGTTTTTATTAAAATTAATGACATCACATAATAGACAAAATTAACAATTAAATTATCACTAATTTATCATGCGCTGTTTGTAGGATTAGATCCGTTACAAATGTGTGACATTTTAAAATAGAAGGAAGTTATAGGTAGTGGGAAAGTTGGAAACTATAAACTTATTTTCGTGTTCCTCCTAGATACAAAGTTATAATTTGTTTTTTTTGCTTTAATAGAGATAATCTACATTATGTTGTTTATGAGTTTAGATAGACAATACTATTTTTAAGTGCTTAAATTAATACATAATTAATGCTCAGGTAACCAGTTATGTGATCACTTGATCAGCATGCAAAATTTATGCTCCGGATGCAGCAAGCATAATCCCTCTTTCCTATTCACTATAACTGACTTTTTTTGGCCTGTCAATAAACTTTTGAGGGAAAGCTCATTATTTTTGTTTTTCGTTTACTTGCACTTCCGCCCGCTTTAATTTTTACATCACATTCTTTATTACGAAATAAACGCAAAAGATTACAATATACAACTTTGTCCTCATCCTCTACCTTCTGCGAGTAGGGTCTGCTAGTACATTGGGTCCGTAATTATGTCACTAAAGCACTGCGGAGGGCAAAAATTGCAGAACAAAATATAACGATAAAATTCGTCCCTTAGGTTGGTTGTAGGTATGTGCCATTGGATGTTGTTACAGAAAGTGAATTTAAACAAAACAAATTAAAAAAAGTTCATGACATCCGAAATTACAGTAGACACTATAATGTAGGTAATTAGTTTAGTCCGTTGTTTCTTAACTCTTCCTTATCGTGCTTAGCAATTCTTAAAATGTTATATAAAAGGATGCGTATAACACAATGTTTTACTTTTCTCACAAAATATGACATTACGTCTTTTTTTGTAATTACGTAAGTGGCGGAATTTCAAAGGATTAGAATTCAAAATTAATTTGCAGATCCACATAAATTACTGATTGTTTTCAAAATGAACTTTCTTTTTATAATGGATCGAATTAGAATTTTAAATTCGTTCATGAATATTGAGCAGTTGCATTTAGATTTTTTTTAGTACCGATGTTGGGACATTGCGGGCATTTTTTTTAAATAAGTACCTACTCGATTTAATTACTAAATAAAGTGATGACTGAATTATGGTCGGTAGTGTAACACAAATATGTGAATTACAGATGCACGTTTTTCATGTGAAAGTCGTATTTGACAAACATATTGGATGAACTATCCGATTTTGTATCCCACCCTACTCGTATTTAGTGTATAAAACAGGTGGTCCATCGTTAAACCTACACAGTCACCACACGTCGTCTTCACAAGCATCATGATAAAATATACCGTGGTAAGGATCTATGTGGATTACGCGAGTTTTTAAAATTAGTGCCTTTCGTGGATTACTTTAGTGTCGCTCTCGTGCGTATTAATTATGCCATTTTTTTCTTTTTCAGTGCATGGCACTGGCCATGACCCTGGCGGTAATGGCCGAACCACCGTCGGGATATTCCTACTCAAAACCTGGAGGTGGTGGATTTTTAGGCGGTGGCGGCGGTGGTTATCACAGTGGACTGTCCGGCGGTGGAGGTGGATACACAGCCGTATCTTCAGGTTATCAAACGAGCGAAGGACAACACATTGATCATGCATTATTAGAACAAGTTCGTCAAATTCTACTTAAAGAAGAGCAATCCTCATCTTCACACAGTGTTGGTGGTTTTGGTGGACACGGTATCAGTTCTTCATATGGCCCACCTTCACATTCGTACGGACCCCCATCCTCCGCGTATGGTGTTCCTGGTTACGGTGGCGGTCACGTTATCGGCATTGACCTGGAAGGTGTCAAACAAGCAATTCAAGTTGCCCAATACCACCAGGCCAGTATATCTCACGGAGGTGGCGGTGGTGGTTACTCATACCACAAACCCTCTGGCTCATACGGAGCTCCCTTCTAAGCTTACGAGCTGCAAAAGAACTGAAATCACCATCACACGGGTCCATGACGCAACAAAAACATTCATTTGTACCATACCACGAGTTAACGTTATTTTTTTACTCTGTATAAAGCTTTATGTAGGTTATGTTTGTAAAAATACATTTGTCACCGTATTTAGGACTTTTGATTAGGGGCGGCCTTTCACCTCGAAACTGAAATTCACATTCACTTCTGCGATGATATCATAATTAAAATTGACCGACGGTCGCATCTGAAAATGAGAAATTAGACATTTCACGGTTTATTGACCGAGAAATTAAGAGAAAGGTAAAATTATGTAGGTCGATCATTAAGATGCGACCTAAGCTTCCGGGCATTCATACTTTGACCGATTTTTTTAACATATAAGTTTACGTGAGAGCTTATTACTTTTCGAGATGGACATCCGCATTTATAAAATTTCTATAGGCGTATTGGTTAATAAAACGAACAGGTATGGTGCTAAACGTTGAATCACTCTCCCAGTATAGGTATTGCTAGTTATTCAATTAAATAAGGTTAATTATACTCCACTTTTACTTTGGTTTACGAGCTATTTTCACTTTCGTTGAACCTTTTTACATGGGAAAATTTCATACTTGTGTGGCAAATCTTTTGGTCAGTTTTTTAGTTACTCTTTGTTCATTTTTTTAGTGGTGGACATATTTTCTCAATCATTGTATATAGTCAACGTCCTTTTCATTATCTTTAATTCCGTGTTTTCTTTCCTTTTCTCTTCCTGAATTTATTCACAATGTAATAATAATGCGCTATTTCCTAGTCCCTAATTTTCCTTCCGACTTCAGAACCATATCTGTGTACCTATACCTATGCTGACGGATTCTGGATTCTGGAATCTGAACTAAAAAAGGAGGGCGAGTAAATGCTAACAGGCATTTAGGCCTGATGGTAGTACGTCATTGTGATTAGAGTCGTCTGGGTCTACCCTTTGCGTCGTCAGTTACACTTGAGTTGAGACGACCTTGAGGGCTAGCCAGGGAAGTGGTTCTAATATTCGCATGTCTGGCCAGACTTTCTCCAAATACATGTTCAATTATATCGATACTTTCCATTATGATCTCGAATTGTTTTGATTTGTTGATATATCACATATGTTGGGAGTTTTGTTAGTGCGTAAATTTTCTTGAGCTTTTCTTTTAACTATGGTTTAAAATTCTTTGTACTTTTCAGACATTAAATTTCATGAATGAAAGTGTTTTTAGATGAATTGTACCATTGTTTAAATAACGGGTTTACCAATAAGAGCGATAGGATTTTAAATTGAAATAAAACACAGTCAATTTGGTCAAATTTAGGTTTGATTGGTTTTATTAGATGCTGTATTTCATGCCATTTATGATTTAAACAAAATATCGTTCAAATGGCCACCGCGGCTCTTTTTGCACTGGCTCATCCGATCGGACCAATTTTCGATGACTCGGTGGATCATATCGGGTGGAATGGCAGCTATGGTCGCTCGAATGTTGGCCTCGAGCTCGTCAAGAGTCTTGGGTTTATTCGCATAAACCTTTGACTTCACATAGCCCCACAAAAAGAAGTCCAATGGTGTTAAATCCCATGATCTTGGCGGCCAATTGTGGGGGCCATGTTGAGAAATCAACGATTCACCAAACTGTTGACGCAATAAGTCCATTGTAGCGTTCGCTGTGTGGCATGTTGTTGGATAATTTCCAAGCGTTGAGGCAACGTGAACTTGTTCATGATGAAATGGCAAGCCTTACTGATGACAACTGACAGCATATGTCAAATGTTTGGCATCCAACATAGCCGCCTTAAACGTTTAAAATCCTATCGTCCCTATTGGTAAACCCTATACTTTAACAATGATTGTACCTACGCAACGAAAAAAATACAGTTATGTCGGGATTAAATTTAATAGCGAGAAAAAATAGTATATTATATACCGCGGGACTGAAGTAGTACTTTTAATCCCTTCGGTCGGGCCATAATTTACCTGAGGGATTAAGACCACTACTTCAGTCGCAAGGTATATACGATATTTTTCGTACTTCCGAAACTGAAACACTTAATATGACGTATGGAGTTAGAGAACGCGTTCTTTCAAAAAATCGCTGCTCAACAAGTTACCATAGGAACTGTCATTGCCAGTGTCATAATTTTGATGGTGGGTGACAAAGGTGTATTTGATATTGATAAAAAGCAGCCAAAGTAGGTAAAGAATTGATACTAACGAAATCCAAAAAACTATATGAACAGCAGTACAATGCGTTTAAGAAGTAGTGGCGCATACAAAATGTGGAATAACCTACTGAAATTGCTTTGTGAGTAATTTCATCCTTCCGGGATTTTCGCAAAATTTAATCCCGGCGGGACAAAAAGTGACACTTCAGTACTTGTCATAATGGAGTGAAGTTGTCACTTTAGTCTCGGAAGTACGAAAAAACAGTTTTATGGGGGTGGAACCCCTAAGATATTCAACTATCAATGTATAATTAAAGTAAAGTACACAATTTAAATTAGTTTCTTGTTTGTGTTTATAATAATTGGTTGAATTTAGTGATGATCTAAATTTGGAAGTTTTCCTCACTTTGGTAGGTACTAAGTAGATATTGTTGATATTTGGACAAGTGTTTGTGAAATGATTGTAAAGAAGGCGTAAATTTAGATGTAAAAGAAATCACTTAGGGTTTTACAATTTTTAAAATAGTTTACTACCCCTACTTTAATATAGAATATAGACAGGCGTGTGTAATTTTGCATATGAATAGTAAATTTGAAAATGTTTCTTAATATCGGTAAACATTTTAAACTGAAATTACTTACTTGGCTCTAGTTTACTCGAACCAAGTAACTGGACTACTGTTTCAGGGTTTAAAAAGAACGATTTTTTGCAAGCTCGAGTTCTAGTATTCGGTAAATATGCTTTGAATAAACAATAACTCAACGTCAATATAACAATAGTAACAATGTGACATCAGACTTATGGGTTACCTTCTCTACAGCTGTTTACTTGAAACAAATAGATGATTTTACGCGAGTTCTGGTTTGACACTTAAGTAGTTGATTAGATGTTAGATGATGGCACAATGAGACCTATCTGGCATTTCCTGCAATGCAATTTGTTTCCACTTTAGATGCTTACCTTATGGTTTTACTCTCACTTCAGATAGCACAATTTATTCTAATAATATACCTACCAAGGGTATTTCCACGGGAATGTCTAAATATCCATTTTTTATTAGGGAAATTTTGCGAAAGAATAAAATTCACCTTATGTGATTGTTTTGTCCGTCTGTCTGTTCGCCGTGTAACTCGAGAAAGAAAAGAGACAGCGATGTCAAAGCTTCGATAATCTAGGTATTTCTACGAGTTCAAGGATCAGTGCTATTGAATATGAGCCGGATCAAAAGTCTGGTTTCCGAATATGAGCTGAGTGGCAAAAAACTCCCCTACTGCAAATTGTATGCGATTCTTCGTATCTTGTTATACCTGCATCTGCCCTTTTTGAAACCAAAAAGTGTGCGTAACGGGTAACATACTATTACAGTACCCCGTGCGTATAAATATTTCTCCTTTTCTTGGATATGCAATAACTAAGTATGTTAAATGGAGAGAAAGCGAAAAAATGCGTATTTTCGGGCCGAGGAAGAGTCACGATGCGTCAGTAGATGGAAATGAACATGAAGAAAATAGGTATCTATCTCAATTTATTGTAAACAGGAAACATCTGTAGAATATAGGTCCAAGATGGTGAATATTGTCTTCCTAACCAAAGCATATATGCGCACTGTGCGAACTTGTAGAAACTCGTGAACAAATTTCCAAGAGCTACTTTCAATGAATTATTGCAAAGAATATCCACTACCGAGACTATAAAAACAGCATTTTATTTCATAAGAACGTGTTTGGCTGTTTTTTTTTCAGTATGGCAGATTGACTATACAGGAGTTTTAACAAGAGCTAGGTAGGCATACATCTATCGGTGAACATTTGTCTGCGATAGCGTAAATCGCGAGGCAGATTTTATTATGACACCGAATCTTCTGGACTGCTTCACTGTTGACTAGATAAATTAGACTGAATTCCATTGGGATTATTCAGTGTCTCATGCAGAGAAAAATCTAGAATTACTTCCATTTCCGGTCAAATGCGCTACGATGGCGTCGTTATGTTGGAGTGCCCTTGTTTCAGAAAGTTTGTCCATATTTATTACAACAGCACTGAGCTATTACTATTACCAATAATAATAAATTGAATTACAAAACTGCTTTTTCAATTATGCTTGCATGCTTCTTAAAATTTAGGATAAAAATCATCTTAAAATCACGTCAATGGTTCTCCGTGGATAATTATTGAAGTGATAGTTATAAATTCAATTTTTAAATTATACCACCAGTGATTATTTCTTTGTATCTGTGGGCAATCATATAATTTGAGCCTTGTCTACAATGCTACAAATAAGCTAGAAATCGTTGTCTATCTATGTGGTGTTACTGATGTCATTGTGTAGTATTTAAACAATGCTAATGTTTAAGAGCAGGGAATCGAATTTTTAGTTGAGTAGGTGGCACCATTATACTCAACTTTCGTCGTAATTTTTACGAAAACTAAGTCGAATCAGGAATAAAAAAAGACATAGTCTTGTAAGGCACATGTTACTCTAGTGCTTGAAATAATTTCCAATCAAATTTTCATTATAATTACTTTGTAAATAGTAATTATAGATTTGAAAAAAAAGTTTACGTTGAAACTTAAAAAACTATTCAGCGGGTAGCCACCGTCATACAGAATCACATATCAAAATTTCGTTGACTAATTATACATCGTACGCCCAAAATTTACAACAAAAGGATCAAAAAATCATGACGTCATGATTGACATCCATTTTACAGCTAGGTTAGTGGAGCTATTTTTGAATAGATGTCGCAACAACCGCATCACGTTGAAAGTTTGTTTCACGTTTTTTCATGCCATTCAATGAAACCAAGGTCAATAACAAACGAGTAGCATCATTCTCAAATTACGCCATCGAAGCTGTCTGGGCTGTGTGTAATTTCTTACGTATTATTAGCATATGTAGTTGTTTTAGCGGGGCCCTTTAAAAAATACAGGCTATCACAGATTTATATCCATTTTACCTACCTAATGTCTA